AATGCTGTAAATGAAGAATGCTTTCAGAAATAGAATTGTTAACAGTTTATTTTTATCAATTAACAAAATGAAAAGTAAATGAACAGAAGAGGAATCCAAATCAAATCAATGTTTTGTGTGAATACCCTTTGGCTTCAAACCAGCATCACTTCTTCTAGGTACACACAGTTTTTGAAAGAACTCGGTAGGTAGGTTGTTCCAAACCTCTTAGAGAACTGATTACATATTGTCTGTGGATGTAGACTGTCTCAAATCCTTCTGTCTCTTCATGAAATCCCAGACAGACTCAATGATGTTAAGATCAGGGCCAAACCATCACTTCCAGGATTACTTGTTCTTTACGCTGAAGGTAGTTCTTAATAACATGGGCTGTATGTTTAGGGTTGTTCTGCTGCAAAATAAATTTTGGGCCAATCAGACACCTCCTTGATGGTATGGCATGATGGATAAGTATCTGTCTGTATTTCTGAGCATTGGGGACACCACTGATCCTGACCAAATCTCCAACCTAATTTGTAGAAACACAGCCCCAAATTTGCAAGGAACCTTGACCATGCTTCACTGCTGCCTGCAGACGCTCAATATTGTAATGCTTTCTAGACCTTCGGCAAACAAACTCCTGTTACAGCCAAATATTTCACAGTTTGACTCATCAGTCTAAAGCATCTTCTGTCTTTTTTCTGCACCTGAGTTCCTATGCTTTAGTGCATAGTTGAGTTGCTTAGCCTTGTTTCCACATCAGAAGTATGGCTTTTTGGCTGCACTTCTTCCATGAAGACTACTTCTGGCCAGACTTCTCTGGACAGCAGATGGGTGTACCAGAGTCCTACTGGTTTCCATAAGTTCTGTGCTGATGACGCTGTTGGACGTCTGATTTTGTAGGGAAGTAAGCTCGATATGTATTTCAACTGTTGCATTAAGTTTCCTTGGCCGACCACTGTGTCTGCGGTCATCAACGTTGCCCGATCAATGGTATCCTCCATGCTGAGAAATACAGGCAGATACTTATCCATCATGCCATACTATGAGGGAGGAATGTGATTGGCCCCAAATTTATTCTGCAGCAGGGCAATGCCCCAAACATACAGCCAATGTCTTTAAGAACTATCTTCAGTGTAAAGAAGAACAAGGAGTCCTGGAAGTGATGGTTTGCCCCCCCCCGAGCCCTGAGCTCAACATCATCGGGTCTGTCTGAGATTACATGAAGAGACAGAAGGATTTTAGGCAGACTACAAGATCTGTGGTTAGTAATCCAAGATGTTTGGAACAACCTACCTGCCAAGTTCCTTCAAAAACTGGGTGTACCTAGACGAATTGATGCCGTTTTGAACCCAAAAGGTAGCCACATCAAATATTGATTTGATTTAGAGGTTTCTTCTGTTCACATTTTGTAATTTTATAAAAAACACTATTAAAATGTATATTTTTGAAAGCATTCTTACTTTACTGCATTTCTTCACACCTGCCTAAAACATTTGCATAGTACTGTACCTTAGCTCATAAAAACACTCAAAAGGATACGCTCACCTTTTTAAAAAAAAATAATGAATGCACATCTTTTTGCAGGAAAAAAAAAGTGCAGTTTTTTTTTTGGAGCCTGTAAAGCATTGTACCCCACGATTAGGAGATCACGGGTGCTTGTCAGTGTATCTATCTGCTTGTACCTCATACGGACAGGCAGATACACACTGACAGGAACAGACAATTAACTACCAGAGCATTCAAGAGTGCCATGGTAGTTCATGGAGAACTACAAGCCGACAGCTGCAAAGGCTATCTGTACTTGTAGTTTCCCATTCACAGAAGTCTGTGAATGAATGACGGGGGCAGGTGAAGATTGATCAATTGCTCTCACTAGAGGCATCAGAATGGGCAACTGCTGCAGGTGTGGGAACATGTTACATGTTCCACCCAAAAAATGGTGAACTCATCCTTTAAAAACATTAAAAGATGAGAATGTTTGTTTTTAAGCATTTTTATTGGCTAGGGTGTATCTTTAGTAATTAAGTTTACTTAAAGTATAACTATTAAAGGCATTTTTTTTTAGTTTTGGATAGAATGGGAAGATTCAGTGGTAGGGGTGTTCAACCTCTCCATTTGCCATGTTTGGCATTATCATCAAAACTGACGTTAAAGAAAATCCAGAATGCTGGGTTGTAACCAGAACAGGAATAGAGGGGATATCTTCCAAAGGCAACAGTATTTCTGGTGACAAGCAGGAATTTCCTCATTTTGGAGGGGTTTCCTCTCACTTCCTGCAAAAGGACATAAAGTTAAGGGAAATCTACTCAATGGATGTAGCAAAAAACATTACAGGGTTTTACGTATTCCCTGTCAAAATGAAAAAAAGTCTTGACTTAAGAGAAATTTTAAGCAAGTACTGAGTAACTTCCTCTTTGTCTCTGTATCACAAATCAAACTGAAAGTGCTAAGGTAGTCTGGACTCTGATTGCTTACTGTTACATCCTGCTTTCTGTATAGTAGAGACAGCAAGGAGCCTGCAGTAGGCATGTTGGAAATACCTCTCCTGCATAACCACATATAGGAAAAGAGGGTTCTCAGACTACTGACAAAAATGAATGAGATATACTGATGCAATGCAGCAAAGTCTGAATGAAAAACATAATGACATGGAGCACACCAGCTGAATGCCATGCATGCTACTCAAGCCTTCGTTTCCAATTTTTGAGAAATGCGTACTTTAAATTTCTGGAAGATCTGGAGGCCAAAACCAGCATGAGATGACCTGACCCTTATAATTTTAATGTGTATTATAATCAGATATGTTTTAACCACTTTGAAGAAATAAAATTAAATAAAAAAACACAACCTCAGCTTACCACATCCTGAGCAGTGGTAAAGTCAGGTATGATTTTTGTTCTATGACTGATATGCACTACTGTGCTTGGTAATCTTATATTCTATTTTCTGCAGAATAAGCAATTATCTACATTGTGATAAATGATATTTGAGGGTTGTATCAAGTGCAAGTATGCCTTGCATAGTTAGATTTTTGCTTTCATTTAAGCACAGCTTTTAGGGCTCAGGGTACTCAATATATGATCTATTATACCAGTATACTTATTTATGGCACCACTCACACATTAAAGGATAAGTTCATCATTTGAACAAAAATGAAAAAAAAGTACATTTTTCTGCAGGTGAATGCACTGTTTTGAAATAGTGACAGCTAGTATGAGGAACTTCTCCCTATACTGCTGTCACAGGGAGGAAGAGGGGGATTGGGCAGTGGCTGCAGCAGTAAGCATTTGTTACATGTTCCACCCTAAAAATGGGTGGAACATGTAACGTTCTCAAAGGTGAACTTATCTTTTAAGTTGTATCATTTCCTTTATAATAACTATTTTTGTATTTGTTGCAGTTGTCATCATTTAGGGAATAAAACATGGAGACATTTCACAGTATATTGCTTTATCCCTGTTTTCTTGGTTCCAAATCAGAAAGACCGAACTGTGACCAGGGAAGAATATTTTGTCTGCAACCATCACTCTACTGAGCAAAAGAAGGATCTTCGAGCAATGATCTTACCATATAGCCAAGGGAACATTCAAGGAGATTTCGAAGACAAATAGCGACACAACCGCCGTAAGAACCTTCAATACAAAAAGGAAAACAATATATATTACTAAAATGATTTTAGAAGACAGATCACATGACTATTTAGAATGCATTACTAGCAATTTTTATTATTTTAGAGAAAAGTTAGAGGAAGAGTTAGATTGGAGAACATACTACAACAAGGAAAGACAGGAAGTTCAGCCCACTGCAATAGCATATATGGATATACAGACAAGAGTAAATACTAGATTGATTTACTTTTTATTTCAGGTACTTATATAGCGCTGTCAATTTACGCATGCTTTACACACACACACACACACACACACACACACACACACACACACACATATTGTACATTCACAATAGTCCCTGCCCTCGAGATGCTTACAACCAGAGCTTTGTGAGGCCTTAGGCAGAACTTAGACATGAGGCCCCATTCACGCCCATCTGTTTGTCCGTCTGCAAGCTATGCAGCAGGTTTTCCCAGATTGAGATCCTCATGCGGTGGATAGAAGGGGTGATGTGCGCAGACACAACATCATTCCTCATTGACTGGCAGAGCTCCAGAAGTCTTAGGTTACATGAGAGGTGAGTGTGACAGGGCTTTTAATGTTGCCTGCGCACAGCAGCATTAAGGTGTCCTGTCACCTCTAAAATAAAGTCACGCTGCAAAACAGCTGCTTGGCCGTCGCAAGGCCCACTTAAGTCAGAAAGGGGTCTTAACATTGCCTGAGTACAGCAGCATTAACCAGTTCAGCAACAGAGTATTTTTTTTTACATTTTTCACATACATGTAAAAATCTAAATTTTTGGCAACAAAATTACTTCAACCCTCAGAACATTATATATTTTTGAAAGCAGAGGCCCTGTAGAATAAAAAGATGACATTTGCACAATTTTATGGTACATCATATTTGCGCAACTGTTTATTAAAACACAGATTTTCAGGAAAAAATATAATAAAATAAATTTCAGTGCAAAAACACACAATAGAATACCCATTTTTGGTTAAAATATAAAAGATGAAGTTGCATCGAGTAAATAGATACCAAACTTTCCATGTCTTAAAATTGTGTGCACCCTCAATATTGCCAAAAACTACAGTGTCCAAAAATCACCATAGATGACGCTTTAAAAGCATTTATAGCTCATCAGGTTAGAGTTAAAGCGGAGTTTCACCTAAAAATAAATAAATAAATAAAAGTCAGCAGCTGCAAAAACTGTAGCTGCTGACTTTTAAAATACAGCCACTTACCTGTCCCTCGGTCCAGCGGTGTCCTCACCACGGCTGGTTTCACCAGCCATCTTCTCTCCCTGGTGCCGACATCTTCAGTGTGGGCACCTGGCTGTGACAACTTGAGGCTTCACAGCCAGGTGCCCACTGCGTATGCGTGAGAAGCGCTGCGCTTTGTGAATGGCCCCGTAGTCTTCTGGGACCTGTCACGTGTTGTTCTCGCTCAGACGTTTGCAGCGATATGTCACACGTGGTGCGACCGCGGTTTACATATGAGAGCACACCCTGAGCTTATGTTTGCACAGGTGTGCGGGGCAACATGGGTTATGGTATTTTTTTTTCATTGTAATATATTTTATTATGATTTAAAATATTTAAAAATTTTTCTTTTTCTTTATTTTTACTTAACTTACTTGCTGCTAAACCTATGTGATAGCAGCAGGTGACGGGTACTCTTTATGGAGACATTAGGAGTCTAATAGACCCCAACATCTCCCCTGCCTGTCACACCATCTAGCCAAGCACAGATCAGCTTGGTTAAATGTGTCCCCTGGCTGTACTGGCCAGGAAAGGGTGTATCTGAAACCAGAAGCAACATCACTTGCATGTGAGATCGAGGCAAGGATTTGCCTCGGTCTCACATCGCTCTCCCTCTCCTAGCCGGTGGCAGTGTCCCCAGGCTGTGGTAAGAGCAGAGATCCAGGGAACCAAGGGAGGAGGGGGGGTGGTTCCACGCTGCCGGCTCCATGAAAGTGATCGGCAGCTATGGACCCTAGTGCTGCCAGGTGGGAGTGCTAACCACTTAGCCACTGTGCTGCCCAATGTGCATGCACATCAGCAAAACACATGGTAATATATAAAACTGCCTTTGAACTGCATCGCAGAGCAGAACACAGGTTCCGCCATTGCTATATGTTGTGATAACGTGTGGCAAAGTGCTATTTTGAATGGCACCCCAATACACTGAGCTAACATGCCACAACATATTTTTAAAGCGACAAAACACACAGCTGCGAACCATCTATGCATTGTGGTGCTGGGTGTGAGTGTCTCTGGGAGAGTAATGCAGGTCTGATAATACCTGCAGTGTTTATTTTGAATGAGCACAATGCACCACAATGCACACTACCACATAAAATACATCACATTAACACAAATGCGATTACACACTGCAATGTAGAGGAGTTGTCTGAATAAGTCTTATTGTCCTAGGTCTATACACAAATGTTTACACCAGTGGTCCCCAAACTGTGGCCCTGGAGCCGGATGCATCTGTTTGTTTGCCTTTATTCAGCCCTTGAGGCATTACTCCTGCCACTGACACCAACAATGCGGCATAATTCCTGCCACCGACAGCAATAATGGATCACTATTCCTTCCAAAGACACCAATAATGGGGCATAATTCCTTCCACTGACACAAATGATGGGGCATAATTCCTTCCACTGAAAATAAAAATGGGGCAGTATTCTCCCACCAACACTAACTATTTCTACCCCTAATACCAAAGATCAGGCATTGTTTACTTGGCACAGTCCAGCCCCCCTAAAGTCTGAAGAACACTAAACTGGACCTTTCTTTAGAAAGTTTGGAGACCCCTAGTTTAGTCTTTTAAGTATAACTTATTACCAATTCTGTCTCAGTTTCTCAAGCTGGGAAGTTATTTCTTCTTCAGGAATAGGATTGTTGGTCGTCTAATATTGCGCTGATGTAGTATTAAGTCTATTTGGTACAAATAGCACTTAGATGTAATCCTCATTAGATGTGAATGAGTTATTCCCACATGTATTATTGTGGTCAAAAGACCAATTTCTTGCATACAGCAGACTTCCTGCTGAGCACACTGCAAAGCAATGTTTTGACCTACTGCATGTTTTCTCAAAGAAAAATTTGAAGCTGCAAATACATATATGAAAACTGTTCTACCTTACAAAGTATTTGTAATGGTCCTTAGTAAGTACTGTGATCCAAATACCCAAGCTCAACCTTCTACCCTGGTCTTGGACTTGTCTGCAGACAACACAACTTATACAGCCTGCTGCATGAGAAATCTATTGCCAAGCTGAGCACCATCACCATGGTTGTGCAAAGCCATATATAAATACTATTTTCAGAAAGTCATTATTTCCAGAGGTTCCAGTGCTATACTGTAGACACAAGCAGCATTGAGAAATAGAAGCAGTCTCTTTATAATGCCTATATTACAGCGGAAGTGTTCTCTGCTTTAAACTGCTGCTTACAGGTCCTCTTTAAAAATTGGAACTAGGCAAAAGGAAAAAAAATATATTTTTGTTTAATCAGCTCCTGTTGGGACCTCATTTGTGTGGATAGAGACATTTGGGTTTTTTTGGGGTTTTTTTTTTCCCATTTCAGCTCACTGGTTTTGCTCTATGACAAAAAAAAAAAGGGTTTTGAGTTTGGATACCATTTAACAGAAATATTTTACTGCGATCAATTGGCATGATAAATGTTAATCTAAGGAGCTGTTGCAATTATCATATTCTGATTTACCTGCTTTTTTCTATTACAGTTTTTTGCCTTGCTAATATGCAATATCTGTACTTTATAAATAGGTTTGAATATGTATTTGTTCCAACCCTGTCCACTAGAAAATCACATTTCAGCCCCCCAAAAAAACCTCCTCATTTGCATCTAAGCTGCCCACGTGGCATACCTCAATGCAATTTTATACACATAGAGTAAGACAAAAAAAATCTCAAACACCTAACTCTACTATTCATGTACCAGCACTGCTTTCTTGAGTGATGACCAGTGATCCAGTGCTGTAGCCTGTGCCCACATGAACCAGTGATCAATATTTTACATTGTCGTGCATCTAGGCAGTGACGTGGGCACCCCAAGAAGAACCTTCCTCCAGTGAAGTGAAGTTAGAAGACGTAGAACGTGGTGCACTACATGACCACAGCCTACGTAAAATAAGGGAGCTTATAGCTTAGAATAGAGTAACATGATGATTAGTTTGGTGGTGTGTGCAAAGGGGGGGTTAATGTGCAGAATTTGGTTTTAAAATAATGTAATTAAGTATATGCAACCCCAAACATTAAAACTCCTATATGCTTAAACATATTAAAGAAATTTGAAACAAAATAATACAGGGCGATTCTACCAAGGTCCATGCTCAGGCACTTTCTGTGATCACTCATGAGTATGGGTGTACAATATGCTGTATTCAGCTGCATAAAGAAAAACATGAAAATTGGAAATCAATCCACAGTTCAATTTTGACAGTATTTTAAGCTGTACTCATGTATATGTTGTTACACTGAATTCAGGGCCGAGACGCAAACAAGTGAGTAGCCAGCAGCAGTGACAACTTTGCATTCAGTCATTCTGAACGACTAAAGGTCAAGATTGTTTTTGGCATGTGTCACTACCTACACATTGTTAAAGAATGCATCGCCCTGAATAAGTCACTCATGCAGCATAGGTGCAGAAGGACCTAAGCTTTCAGTCATTCAGAATAAACAATGTGTAGGCAGTGGTGGCGCATGCGCAGAATGACTTGCGCATTCTAACTCATACAGACATGTGTGTTGTGATGGAAGTCACTTTGGGTGGGGGGGGCCATGGGACCCAGCTCACTTTGGAGAGGTGGGGAGACGCATCTCAGCTCCCCCATATCCCTCTTATGTGTAAATCACCCTGTGCCTGTTAGGGGTACTGGGTGATCTGTCCTAATATTGTGTGGGCTTTGTCTCAAACTGTGTGGACATGTTTTGGAGATAGGTGGGGTGAGGGTTGTTGATTGTTTAATGTTATGTGGCTGCATCCCATTGTTCTATTGTTTGTCTGGCTTGGGAGCAAACTATTATGGGATGTATGTGTTTATGTGTATTAGCTTGGTGGGGGGTGTCACCAGCAGCCCTCCCTCCTGATGGGACTGTCTGCTGGTGTGAAGTTTGAATAACTGTGTGTCTCTTGTTACTAAATGTAGATTACTCCACCCTGTGTCATTATGCAGGGAGGGGGATTGTCCCCTGAGTGTATATATCTTGTATCTGTGTTCAAATAAAGTAGTCTACCTCCTGCTTTACTTCAAGACTGGTGTCATCTAGTCTTGTATGGTCGGCTGTGGTGTCTGTTGTCGGTGTTCAGATGGGAAAGCAGTATTCTAACGGAAGTATTCAAGCACAGTCTGGGTCAGTTCCGTTACATGTGTGTATGTCCATCTGAGTTGAAATGCAAGATGGACCACTTTTTCTGGAGTATCTTGCAGCTGGCAAGATCTCGTGTAAATTTATTACAGCCATGTGCATGGGACCATTTCAAGGTCCCAATGCTCCTGCCTTATCAACCTGTTATATGGGCTGCTGAAAATACAGAGCCAGTTTCAACACACATTATGCGGGCATGATCCATTGTTATCAGGAAACCAGCCCCAAAGACTGCCATGCAGCCATTGTTGAAGTGCACATAGACAGGATGCCGCTGCAAAAGGGGCTGCAGGAAATCAGCAGCACTGCGATACAACAGAAGGTGAAAACAAGTATTTTATTTAAAAAAATGTCCATGGTCATCCAGTTAGGATTTACATCTATTTTAGTGTTTTAATAAATACTAAATGCAGGGATGATTTCACTTTTAACATATAATACAGAAACTATGCAGCAGTATTTATGTCCTTTGCTTTGTTTCCCATGTTGTGTCTTTCACAATGAGAAGAATGTTAAAAAGCATCCTATTTTGGTCAGAAATATTTTAACTTTGAATAGGGTTCAAAAGAATGAAGGTTCACAATGAGTGGCCAGGGAGTATTCTGGTCTCCTGTGTCCTTGCACGACTTCCTGGCTGATGCCAGTTCACAGACAGAGACGGGATCACAGGTTCAGCTCAGGGAAGATCATGTGCCTACTTGTTTAGAAAACACAATAAGAAAACTTGGCACACGAGACGTGGACGGAGAGATTTCACCCTGTCATTAATAAGGAGAGTTGCCAAAGAATTGTCCAGATTTTTCCACTAAAATATTTGCACAATAGTTCTCTGAACTGTTTTGGGGAGTATCTACAAAAACACAATCTAGGGAGTATCTACAAAAACACAATCTATTTTTATTTCTGCTTAAGAGAGTTAATATTTTCTAACAGATTTTTTTTTGCCAGGAAGACTTTTGCATCTACCGATCAAAGCTTACATTTTTCAATATAAATCAAGTATTGGACAAACTTCAGATTTCTAAAAAGTTGAAAGCAAATACAAGGCTTGCAA